GTCTTCAAGAGGAATCATGTCCAAGAAACCACTGTACTTGACCCAATTTAGATGATGACATATGGATGGTTTCTGAGCTACAATACCACACAGTATGAGATGCTGTAACACAGATGAATGAGACACACTGTGCGAAACAAAACAAAAAACAACTTCAGGCTATCAAGATGGCTTAGTAGGCAAAGGCTCTTGCTGTCAACCTGGGGACTTGAGTTCTAGTCCTAGAATATACATGATGGAAGGTAAAAACGGACTCTTCCAAGTTTGCACATACACACATGCAGAATAAATAAATGTAATTTAAAATGTTTCATCCTTATAACAACCTAAAATTCTCATCACTAGTCCCAGTGATGGGAACTGGACAGAAGTTTCCAATAATTATTCAAGTGTCATATTCAAAAGTTTTGTTAAACTAATGAGAACAAAATATCAACAATGGTTATTTCTGCAAAGGAAAACTATAAGCATTTTTTTTCCTACTGCTTTTCTAGACTTTGTATCAGGAAAATCACCATATATATTTTAAGATATTTTCAGTTCTAATATTTCTCATGTGTTGGCAATAATCAACATGTTGCTCACCCCCTCCTTTACCTACCCTCAACTTACCCTTCTCCCACTAACCACAACTTCTGTCTTCTTCAACAATAGCTCTACCTTTACCCTTCTCAGTTACAGGCAATCCTCAATACTCTGCCTCAGGTGCACATTCTTCTGTGTACCACAGTACTAGCCTTGACTTCCCTATCAAGCTCTAGTCCTATGTCTGCCTGGCTGGCTATTTCCACTTGCCTATCACTCTGTCTCTTTCAACACAACCTATCCAAAACATGGGACAACTGCCTATGTCCCCCCTGCTGACTACTGCATATCTATTTTTCTCAGTTCTACCATCACTTGACTTTCCACTCATACTATTCCTAACTCTGGTCCCACTTTAATTTTCCTAAAAGAAACTACTTTAGAAAGGCCTTCTCTTTGGGCTGGAGATGGCGCAATGGAGCAGTACATGCTCCTAAAAGAGGACCTGAGTTCAGCTCCTCACATACACATTGGGTGGCTCCAAGGGATCTGACATCCTCTTCTGGACGCCAAGGCACTTATGTGTATATACTCACACACAGACACACATATACACTCTTTGCTAGAGCCTTCTCTGTTCACCTCTATCCTTAAGTGGTCTCAAATTTTATTATTCATCATATAACTTCAATTATAATCTAAGTCTTCAGGGAAAAGAACCTATTTTATATTTTTCTGTATTTCTTTTGAGTATAGCAAAACATCTTTCCTGTTTCAGACATTAATAAATGTTTGTGACTAAAGTCCTTTTAAACTACATAATCAAGTCTGGCATGGTGGTGTATACCTTTAATTCCAGCCCTTAGAGGCAGAGGCAGGTGGATCTCTGTGAGATTGAGGCCAGTTTGATCTACCTAATAAGTTCCAGGCAGACCGGGACCAAGACCCTATCCAAAAAAGGAAAAAAACCACAATCAATACCCATGGTGCATGCCCCCCCAAATAAATAAACAATAAACTTTTCAGTGGGAAAAGTTTCATAAATGAGAGGGAATTTCCACTGTAAGTATTTACAGTCATTATGTCATGGCAATAAATAATTATAATGATAACATTTAAGGAGATTTTAATGTGCTGAGTTCGAGGGTTTTTCTCCTTTGGAAAGAGTACAACATTTCCAGATGAGGAGCCTGAGACACTGCTCAAGTGTTCCGTACCTAAGGACAGTGAAACAGGATACAGAACTAGACTCAGTAGAATAAAGTGGAGGACATGAGTGAAAATTAAGGGACAGACTGAGCATAAGTTGTTGTTATAAAGTGTGGAAATGAGTTTTCAAGTCTACAGCAGAAATGCTTATTGCAGATACTTAGACAAAAGATTGAGCAGAATAGAGAACAATACAGTAATGAGAAGCTAGGAAAAGAAACCTCATTGTAGAAACTAAGCCAGTAGGGGCTAGAGAGATGGTTCAGTGGTTAAGAGCACATACTGCTCTTATGGAGGACCTGGGTTCTGTTCCCAGTGCCCATATCAGGTAGCTCACAATTGCCCAGAATGCTAGCTCCATGGGATCCAACCCCTCTGGCCTCCACAGACAACCTGCATTCATGTGTCCATACCCACACATATGCACATAATTCAAAATAATTTTAAAAATAATTTTAAGTAAGTCATTAAAGACATTGGGGTAAAGGAGATGCCACAATAAGAAGTTTTATTGATACTTCTACTGAGGATGACTAGAAGGAAGAGATATAAGACTGAAAAATGGCTAAGACTTTAAATATTCTAGGCTTAAAAAAATGGGTTTGGGGTTTCAAGTGGTAAAGGGGAGAAATCAGAGACAAGAGAGAAAAGAAATACACGTGTTTGAATAGGTTAATATAAAAGGTAAATGAAAGAGGTAGTTTAAAGATGATGTGTAATTTAGAGCCTACCTAATCAGGAGGGAGGGGGAGGGAATGAGGGCCTGTGCTATTTCAGTTGCTGTGACAAAATACACAATCAACTTAAAAGGAAGAAAGGCTTATTTTGATTGATGGTGTTTGAGGTTTCAGTCCAGAGTTGCCTGGGGCCTATGATGGAATGTTACTTCATGACAGGAGCACATGATAGAAGCCTGGTTGCTTCATGGCAGCCATGAAGCCAAAAGAATAGCCGGCCTCTCAATATATCCATCAAGAGCATGCTAATAACCTAACTTACTTTCACTTATGTTCTATGACATCCCCTTATGCCAGGCCTGATAGCAAAGGTTTTATTTAACACATAAGCCTTTAAGGGACATTCAAGATTCAAATTAGAGCAGGCATAAAAAGCAATAGCTTTCATTTGTAACATACTGAGCTTAAGAAGATAATAAAAAACAGTGGTGAGAGAACCATACTGAATAAAACAGCTAGAGGAGCAAATACACAATAGGATTAGTTTTAAAATCAAAGAAATGAGCAGAAAATCATACAGACATTAGTAGAAGAGCTACAGTAAGGCATTATCAACTGCTACTAGCTTTTTATCAATAAAGTTATCAGAAAAGTCAACTGAAACCTAATGCAGATGTTCCCAAATTATTTTCATTCAGGGAGTCCTTAAGGGTAGTCATTTCTTCATGTTCTTCATGATGTCTTATACCAAAGAAACACTGAAGTTAAGTTCAAACAACTTAAGTATTAATCTTCTTGGAGTTTATTTAGTGTCTACAGGGGGTACTGTACAATTCCTCAAATCTTGGAATCAAACTATCATTTCCTGATCCATACTAACTTTCATATGGTAAATAGCTGCTTTTTAGCAGACTAGCCTCTGAAGATAGAGCTTTACAAAGGACGTGACATTGCCGAAAGGGATGGAGCGACCTAAATTTGAAATTCTGAACTACCTCAAGCTAATTCAAGCTTGAGTTCCTGCTCCTCTAAGCACCTTGACACATAGTTTGGGAAAGAACTAAATGAAGGAGCCTAAAAAGGAAAACAATGTAATGGAGGAGGAGCAAAGGAAAATTCTTTGCAGTGAACCACAAGAGGGCAGTACAATAGTTGACAAGGGCAGCACAATGGGGCTCAGAGCCATCAGGAGTCAAAGCCTTGGGAAGACAAAGGCTGCAAGATCCCTAGGTCAGGTCAAGATGCACTTGTTCTTTTTCCCCTTACACTAATGAGGAAGTCTCACTGGCAGATCATCTGAAGCACAGTCTTTCTACTTTCCTCTGAGTCCCCTTTGCCTGCCCAGCTATGAGAGTGATACTAAGACTTTCCTAAAAGCATTTACTACTTTGCATGCGTCTTATTCAATCTTCACACAATCTTCTAAGAAAGCAAGTTGTAAGTAATCAGCTGTTACGTGGAAAGAACACTATATTCCAACCCAGATCTACAAATTCAGATCTAATTCCAAAACCAAAAGGTCTTTCCTATTTTGGCTTGAAAAGACTCCTATCTTTCAAGAATAACCAGGTGAAGCAGAACAAAGAACGATGTTTGCTTCCCAGTCTCCAGATACCTGTCCCAAATCATGACAGAAAAGACTGGAAGAAACAAACTCATTCTTAACGGCTCCCTAAATCTTGCTATAAAGTCTAAATACAGGATGTTCAGTAAGGGCAAAAATAAATATTATGTGCTTATGTAGCCAGCATATACTGCAGCACTCGACAGGTAAATGCTATCACATGTAGCAGTACTGGGAAATACTATTTTAAGTGCTAAACACAGAGTTTGCAGATTATATTACACTCAAATTCACACACAAGGAAAGGATTCCACACTTGAAGTGGTAAACAGGTGAGAGAGATGGAGAAAGAGGGCCCCAAAATCAATTACTCATTTTCAAGTCTGCTGGGTATTATATCAGAATATTTGCAGGAGCCCAACAACTCACTTGTACAAACCTATTATGAAACCAAAAGCAATCGTCATCTCCCTTATTCCCACTTCTGTTTTCCTTCTCCACATTTCTCCTCCCCTCTATGACACACTCAGCTCCTTTCATTCAGAGAAAAGGAGTTCCCCCCCTCCCCACAGGTTAATAACCACCGGAAAGCAAACTGGGTAAATTCAACCGTCATAGCAAGCTTAGGTAAATCCAGGAAGCATTCAATGTGGCAACAGAAACCCCAGCAAAAACAACGAACGTGATCTCTCACTAGGTATTTCTTATTACTTGAAAATGTCCCCCTTTGAAAGAATAAGAATCTCTGGCTGCCTAGAGAGAAAGGGATGATTCATTTTTCTCTGCAAGTCACCAAGGAACCAAAACCAACAAGGAACGTTTCTTAAAGGATCCAAGAGCAACCATAAGTACCCCGAAACTACTCTCCCTGTACACCAACAGTAAAAGTTCAAAACTGCCATTTTCAGAGGAAGCAAGTCAGCCGCTCTTGTCCAAGCATCCAAACTCCCTGCGCCGGCACTGGCTCGCAACTGCAGACACCCTCGCCTAGAACGCGGCAATCAAACAGCACCAGGACAGCATACCTACAGTCGCGGGAGGGGAAAGAAGGGCCTCTTCTGCAAAAGAGAAACAGTTCACATCTTGTTCCTGTTGCCTGCTTCTGCAACCTAAAAACAGAAGAGGCAGTTAGTACCCCACACGCCAGGACAAATAGATGCTCTTTTCTAGGCTGTTTAAATGTCTAGGAAAATTTCAAGGATAAATAGGGGACTTGGGGTTCTAAAACACCCATGGACATATAGATTATATATACATTGTATTTACGTATTATGTATGCATGCATGCATGTATGTATGTATGTATGTATGTATGTATATGTGTGCATCAACTGCAAACCCCTCCGTGCTGGAATATCTCAAAAGGGAAGGTCTTCTGGCTGAGAAGTTAGCTGTCCCTAGCAGGAGGTGCAGTAGGTGGGAAGGGGGCGGAGGGAGAAGCGCTGTCTCCTGGCCCCGCAGCAGTCAGGCAGCTACAGCACCCACCGGTGACACCGGCCCCTCCGCGCTCCGGGGCTGCTCCGGGCGACGCGGCGGGCGGGCGGAGGTCTAGGGAGCCCCCGTGTTGGGAGGGCCGATCGGCCGCCAGGCTGGGCCCCCGCTCGCACTCACATCCCTCGGCGGCCGACCAGGCGGCGAGCCGCCGCAGCCCTCGCCCCGACGGGCACCTCACGAGCCGGGCGGAGGCCGAGACGCCGAGAGCGCGAGCTCCCCCGAGAGCCGCCTGTCAGCGCCGCGGGAGGCCGTCGGCGGCTGCTGCTGCCCCCTCCCGCTCTTCCTCCGCTTCCTGCAGCCCAAGCCACTCCCACTGCGCGCGGCCGGGACGCCCGTCCCCGCTGCCGCCGCTACCTCCCACGGCCGCACGCTCGCCTCAGCGCCGTCCGCGACGCCGGCTCGGGCGGCCCATCCGCGCAACGCTCGGCCGCGGCGTGGGCCTGAGGCAGGCGGCCTGGCGCTGCGGACCCGGGCGCTAGCGAGCGGGGCGGGGACGGCAGCCGGCGCGCCCTACTGCGCCTGCGTGGCCAGCGGGACCGCTCCTCCCGGCGCACGGCGGGAGAGGCGGGGCGCTCGGGGCCTCGGGGTCTGGGAAGCGGCGGCGCGCGTGGAGATTCCCGGGGCAGCCCCTGGGCGTGAGCGCGCAGGGAGGAGGAGCGGGCCGGGCCGGGCGGCGGGTCTTCGGAGGTGGGAGTGCTTGTGGCCTCCGCCCGCTGGGAGGCGGCTGGGAATGAGTCAGCCGGGCGGGAAGGCCCCGGTGGAGGCGTCTGACTGCGGAGACTTTCCTCTCAGCGCTCGCTGCGCCCTTTCTGCTTTCGCTTCCAGGTTCCTGGCTGGGCGCGCGGCCAAGAAGTGCCACGGTGGACGGGCATTGCGAGCCCAGCGCCTGATCTAGTCAGCCACCACCCAGGAGACGGGGAGAGGGTGGCATGGGACGAAACAACTTCCAGGGGCCCAAAGATCCTGGCTCATTCATTCAAACATGTACTGACCGCCTGCTACGACCAGGCTGCAGGGCCCAAGGAGATTATAGTCTTCTGGAAGCTACAAAATATGCTTTAAATCCTCAGTGTGCTGGGTGTGTAACTGCTAGTCTAGTAGTAGTAGTAGTAATAGTGGTGGTGGTGGTGGTATTAGTGGTAAAATGGGGCGTTATTTGGGGATGGTCAGGAAAGACCTAGAGTAAGTGACATAAGAGTAGAAATAGTAAGGATGAGAATGAGCCCTTCCTGGGGTCCTAGGACTATTTAGGAAGAGTTTCAAGCAAGGGTCTAAAAGTGACAAACACGGAGAAGGAAAGTGTTTGGCATGTTCAAAGGCCAGGAAAGGTCAACCTATGGCCCGAGGACAGCAAGAGAGAAGGGGCCAGGATGTAGCATAGGACCATTCTTCATCTACCCGAATGTAGTGATGCATTTTTATAGTGTCCATTTCCCGTTACATAAATGATACTGTTCCTCAGACCTCTAGGATTTAAGGGTTTCTTTAAACATCACCAAAGCACAAAGATAAGGTGGACAGGGAAAAATAGATGATTATCAATAAGCCTGTAGGATTAAGTCATCTATCAACCCACACAGAAAAATGAAGCAACTTGTCATCATTTAGTGTGAAAACAGCTCTTACTATGATTTTGAGCCAGTGGTACCCTGAAATGTTGAGCTCTTTTAACTCTGTGTATTAGAGAACTTTCCAACTCTAATGTGATTCCTGGTAGTGACTTAGCTAGAATTTTGCTCCACAAGGCAAACATTTCAAAAAGTTCCCCCATTTGATAATGATAAGGGAGAATTCCAAGGAATTTGATGATATCTTTTATGACACAAACTGGAGAAACAAATGTTAACTAAGTAGTAAGACATTTAGATTCAGAACACTTTGCATGGCCAGATTCAAAAGTAAAAATTAATAGCAAGCTGTCAACTGTGACATTGTGTGTAAAGCCACGTGGCAAGATCCTGTCTTACCACTATTATAAAGCATGTACACTGGCTTTCTGGACTACCACACCCAAACCATGTAAGTAACAAGACTTTGAATCATTTAAGGGTGAGGTCAGCCCTTGGCTTCTACAACTTTTCACAGTTCTTAGGTTGTTTTTATATAAAGCCAAGGTTAATATAATGCCACACTCAGGAGGCTGAGGCAAAATTTAGTTCAAGGCTGGCTTGGGCTACAAAGCAAGATGCTGTCTCAAATAAAAGCAGCAAGCCAAAGTTGAAAATGCATGGTTGAGAGTTTAAGAAGTTACATTCCAGAGTTCAGATAGCCAAGGTTTCTACCACAACTTTCACCAAGACAGTAATTTCAATCTTCTGAGCTTTCTGTTTCCTTAACATTATTTTGAAGACTATTCCCTTCCTCATCAGAAAATGAGGAATGAGTATAATAGCATCCCACTTGACACATTTTGGGGATTGGATGGAAAGCATTTTAAAGCTCTTAAGCATAGCTATTAAATAAATGTCTGCTGTGGCCACTGTAGGGCCAATGTGCAGATTGGGAAATTTTGTCAGTAATCTTGAAGATTTGTCACAATTTATGGCACCACACAAAATTATATAGCAGGTGATGATAAAAATTGAGTTGTAATGGAGACAAAAGCAGGGATCTACATTCTACCACATGAATTTTTAATGAGCGTGCAAAGTAATGGACTTCATTATGGCATTTTTATAGATGTGTCATTACAAGTTCTAGTGCATTCTCTTCTGCCATTGTCCTTCCCCAACTCCCTTGTCCCCTTCTTGTGCGTTTTTTCCTTCCCCTTAACAGTGCCCACTACCCTCTCTTTTCCCTTCTCCCCACTCAAGATCTCTTCGTCTCCTCTTTCTACTTGAGAGAGAGAGAGAGAGAGAGAGAGAGAGAGAGAGAGTTAAGTTTAGGTTCCTCATATGAGAGAACGCCCACTCAAGATCTCTTCATCTCCTCTTTCTACTTGAGAGAGAGAGAGAGAGAGAGAGTTAAGTTTAGGTTCCTCATATGAGAGAACACATGGTATTTGTCTTTCTGAGTCTAGCCTACTTCATGTGACGTGATTTTCAGTTCCATCCATTTTCCTGCGAATGTCATGATTTCATTTGTGTATTTATACCATGCTTTCCTTATCCATTCACCTACTCATGGGCACCTAGGCTGGTCCTATTATTTTTTAGCTATTGTGAGTAGTCCAGCAATGATCATGGATATGCAAGCATTTCTGTGGTATGTACCCAGGAGTGGTATAGCTGGATCATATGATACTTGTTATTTTTTGAGGTACAATCACACTGACTTCCATAGTGACTGCATGAGTTTACATTTCCACTAACAGTATACAGGAGTTCATCTTTTCCCACACCCTCACCAACATTTATCCTTGTTTGTTTTCCTGATGACAGCCATTCTGACTGGGGTGAGATGGAATCTCAAAGCAATTTTAATCTGTATTTTGTAACCTTTTTTTTTTTTTTTTTGCTAAAAGTATTTATCAGAGCTAAGAGTTTTTCTGGCTGAGTCATTAGGTTTCTTAAGCATAGGTTCATGTTGTCTGCAAATAGGTATAATTTGACTTCTTTTCCTACCATATCCTTTTTATTTCTTTACCTTGTCTTATTGCTGTGGCTAAGACTTTGAACATTATATTGAGTAGGACCTGAGAGAGTAGCACCCTTGTCTTCTTTCTGACTTTAGAGAAAAATGGTTTCGGTTTTTTCTATTTTGTATAATATTGGCTATAGGTTTATTGTATATGGGCTTTACGATATTGAAGTATGTTCCTCTATGATTTTTTTTTTATCGTGAAAGGATATTGTGATTATTTAAATAAAAATGCCCCCCATAGGCTCCAAATATTTGAACATTTTGTTCCTAGTTAGTGGTACTGTTTTGGGAGGTTTTAGGAGGTATAGCCTCGCTGGAGGAAGTGCATTACTGGGAGCTGGCTTTGAGAGTTCTTAGGCCACCACACCTCCCCACCATGATGGACTCATTCCTCTCAAATAAAAAAGGACTTGTCTGTATCCAATGAGTTGATCGTATCATTTCTATCCTTAAGTATATTTATGAAGTTATATTTACTGATTTCTGTATGTTGAGCTATCCTTGTATCCTTGAGATGAAACAACTTGATCATGGTATATGAGCATAATGTATGTTTATAAATTCAGTATGCAAGAATTTCTACAACTGTTCATCAGGGAAATTATAGGGGTTTTTGTTGTTATTGTGTCTTGTCCTGTTTAGATATCAGGGTAATGCTTGTCTCATGGAATGAATTTAGTAGTGTTCCTTTCCTTTCCTTTCCAGTTATGGAACCCTTTGGGGAGCTTTAATTTAGCTCTTCTAAAGAAGAGCTTAAAGAAGAGGTTTGGTAGAATTCAGCAATGAATACATCTGGGCCTGAGTTTTTTCTTTGCTGAAAGACTTAATTGCTGCTTCAATTTTGTTTCTTGCTATAGATCTGGTTAAGTTGTTCAGATCCTTTTGCTTCAGTTATAGTAAGTCACGTGTGCCTAGGAACTTATCCATTTTCTCTAGGTTTTCCAATTTTTTTTTTTTTTTGAATTGAGAGTGTTCAAAGGATTCCCTCAGGAGCCTCTGGATTTTCTTGAAATCTAGACCTCATCCTCAAGTTGGTAGTGGTCAGATTGTTTTGTCACAGCAATGGAGAAACAAACTAGGACAGTCTGCTATTAGTATTATGTGTTTGCTAGTTTAGTGCTTTGGGCATGCTGAACTCCTGTTTTGCTCTCTTTTGTCTATCTATTCTTGTCATGAAATGCATTCTTTCCTGTGTTCTTGTGATGGAAACTTTTTCCTCCTCGAATTTTTTTCTGCAGTGTTGACTGTGTGGTCATGAACTGTCTTAGTCTGTGCTTATTTCTCTTTCAAAATTAAAAGATAGCTTCTCTCGGTATACCAAGCTTGGTTGACAGTTACTTACTTTCAGGGTTCAAAAATATTGTTCAATGCTTCCTGCTAAAATATCTGATGTCCTGATATGCTTGTCTTTGTGAGTTGGTATTTTCTCCTAAAAGCTGTAAAATTTTTCTTTTCTTTGTATTTCTAAGATCTTAACTTCAATATATAGTGGAGTAATGCCTATTTGGGATTCTAAAATTCATCTTGTGTTTCGATATCCATTTCTTTATTAGATTAATGGCATTTTTATGTTGTAATTTGATTGTATATTCTCTTTATGTTTAGTTTTTGTGCTTAATAGCTGTAGTTGTCAACTTGACACACCTGGATAGACAGCCTCACTTGGGGGAATTGCCTCCATTGGACTGGCCTATGGCCATGCCTGTGGGGCATTCTCTTGATTGTTGAGTGATATGAGAGGGCCCAGCCCACTATGGGTGGTGCCACCCCTGGGCAAGTGGTGCTGTATTGTATTAAAAAGCAGGCTGGGCAGAAACCAGAGGAGCAAGTCAGTAAGCAGCATTCCTCCACGGTCTGTGCTTCAGCTCCTGCCTCCAGGTTCCTGCCCTGAGTTCCTACCTTGGCTTCTTCCCTCAGTGATGAACTGAGGAGATGTAAGATAAAATATATCCTTT